GCATTAGTTCATGAAAAACACATAAGCCCTATAACCACGTAACAAAAAGGGAAAGTCAGAGAGAGTTGAGAAGACTTAACTCTACGTATAAAACTGTTTAACTCGAGTAAGGTCTATGTTTATATTTTTAACTCTACTTGTACAACTCGAGCTGAAACTTAGTTTCAAGTTTTGAATTGCAATTTAGGTTTACAACTGAGGCTACAATAACTCAAATTCGCTAATTTCGAATGAAAAAAAAAATTCAGGTTGGATTTTGTTGTTAAGACCCAAATTGAATATTAAAAATAATTGTTCAACTACTGAATAATTCAATTTAGATTAAGATTAGATCCAAAACCCTGGCCTAATGATAAATGACTAATGTAAAATTATTTTAACTTAATTAAATGAAACAATATTTTACTTTGGGGTATCATAAAGAAAGGCTGAACGTGTATTCAGGTATAACTTTATAGTAGGAGCTGCATTGGTCTTGGACATTTGACGAATTTTCAGATTCTCAGAGTTTGGAGTTTGAGTTATGTTAAGCATTAGATTAACAAGAAGTCCTAATGTTGAATGGGTCCATTGTCAATTCAACAACTGTAAGGAATTAGGTGAGTAAATTAAGTTGAGTTTGAGTTTGGACCCACCTGAAAAAATCCATAATATTCACAAGCATAGGCCAGGGACTTGAGGACTTGAGACCTGTTAGCACCTTGGAGTTCTGCAAAATCAATTACTGGCAACTTGAGATTGAGCTCTGTGGCATATGGTTTTCTCTCTCTCAAATTGGGCCTTTCTGAAACAGGCAATATGTACTTCTTAGGGACCTTTTTAATGCCCCTTTCATATAAGTGCTTCACTCCTTTCTGGTATTGGCTTTCCAAAGCATCACCCTCCCTTGTTTCTGTGGCTATTGCCAATGCAGGGGACATTTTCAACGACAATTAACTGTAAATTACAAGAGAAAAAACTTGCATAAAACTCGGGTTTAACACAAAGATGATGTTAGTGGGTTATTTTGCGTGTATTAGAGATTTAAATTTCAACCAGGTGCTCAAAAAAAGCATGTTTAGTTGGTTACCCCAAAAAAAAAAAAAGTGAAGAAATATGTTAGTAAATGGTCATGAAGAAAGAGAGAGAGAGAGAAGGGGGAGGACTAGCTGTGTACCTGCCAATCTCTTCTGTGATTAAGAGATTTAGGAAGCAACCAAAGAATGAGATGGTAGGAATGAAGCGAAGGGAGTTGTATTTATAGGCAGGAATCATCAATCAAGGGGACTAAACAGTTGCTATTCCAGAAACCGGCTTCGGTTATGCTAATACCAAGTACTGCTTGCCATGTTGCAAAAGGACAAAAAACACCTTCCATACCATTTGCTACAATTTCAACTGCAATCCCTTGTCCTCTTTCGTAGGACCTTCTCTCTCTCTCTCTCTCTCTCTCTCTCTCTCTCTCTCTATATATATATATATATATATATATATATATATATTGTGTGTTAGTGTGTGTGGGGTAGGGACGGCTTTTAGCATTTTCCATGTATAGACGTGTGTGGCTAACTTGTGCCTTCCTGGTTTCGAACTAATGCGTCTCCTTCTTTCTAATGTTGGGTCATCCTAGTTTATGTTTTTTTTTTCTTTTCTTTTCACGTTTATATATGTTTGATAATTTCTTTGTATTTATTTGGTTGGGGCCTATGGAGATTACCTAAACCTAGAATCATCTTCAAAACCTTATATGTCTCTCCATTTTTGACAGGCCCGTTAGGATGATGTATTACGTAAAGTCAAATATAGGCACAAGAGGCTTTATGCCTAGAGTTTTAAGATAACAACCAACATACATTATTAGACTTGGTCTAAACATGCCATTAACATTGGCCTTGATATTACACATTTGCATAGACACTGATTATTGGCCACAATTTTGAACGCTACTCATATTTTCGGAATTCAGATCTTTTCAAATATGTTTTTTGTAACAATTTTCGTCAATTATTGACCATTGATTATAAAATGAAGTGAGATCCATTATGTATAAGTGAGTGTCGCACCAATATAGAGGTCGTCATCTTTGATTAATTGAAAATACTTGGGAGTGGATCTAAAACCTTTTTTTTTTTTTTTTTTTTGTTTTTAAGTTAAATAAACATTTTGGGTACGATAAAGAGCAATATTAATTAGTCGGCACGTCAAATGTTTTTAGCACCATAATACATACTTTAGCATCATGGAAAAAGATAGCATAGGAAATATTAGTGCCACTAACAAGAACCTAAGTGGAGTTGATAATTGGTACTATAGTTCCTAATAAGTAATGGTTTTTTTGGACAAACAAGAGACTAAAAGTTACAAGATTAGCATGGGAAGATATAAGATATTGAAGGGTTTTCAAGTTGCATTTGTTTAATTTCTTAATATAACAGTGTTTGCACATAATATCTATGTCTATTTGACTCCTGGGCACCTCCAATATAATATTAATAATAATAGATCATATTAAGGCAGTCTATTGGTTTTTAGTTATTTAAGTCTACCTGAGATGAGATGGTTAACTCTACCTTGAGTGAGTGGAGGTATATATTTAGTTCGAATATGCTATCTAACAATTGTAATAATAATAAGAATAATAACTTTTAAAAAAAGTCTTTTGGTTTTTGACATATTATTGGCATTATTGATGTCTCGTAGATAAATTTGGGGTTAGTGACTGCGTCAATCTTACCGACCAACCAATGAATTCTTTTTTGTTACACGTATGCTTATGTCTGTGACGTGGAAATTTTGTATTAATTAGCCTTTGCTGATGTGGAAAAAATGATAAAGTTTTGTATAATTTATTGAAAATTTTATTATAATTGGGGTGTCCATTGTTTGTCCTAGATCATAGTTGGGATATTATATTCTTGCGATGCACTAGTGGCCTGTAACCCTCTCTAAGTCAATCCACCACTCACTACCAGAAGTGAATCCTTTCTAAAAAAAAAGTAGTGTGATGATGTGTGGTTTGGGTGCTGCCAATCTGTTTCAAGACTCCCAAAGTCTCTTACGTACTAATTGTTTTGCCCCCGTGATTCTTTGCTTTGTCCTTTGTTCTTCATTCGTTGCATGGTCTAGGTCCAATGTCTTATTAAAATAATGTTGTAATTATATCATGTTATCATTGTTATAGGATATTACTGTTTAATAAAAAAAAATAATAAGTACATAAAATAAATCATATTAATTCAATGTGTTGATGATTGAATATGCTAATTTTCAGTAGTTATTAGAATAATCGAGTTTATTTGGTATTTTTTTTATTAAATAATAATATTATATGTCGTTAATGATGTGATGCACCCTCCTTTCCATTGAATATAATATATGTGTTTTGTGTCTATCCAACATTGGCCAATAAAAAGTACATTAGTACATAGATCACATTCTAAGTGTAAGACAGCTGGCTAGTTCGATAAGAACATGTGGGCTCTTGGCGATCGGATGCTTGGCCCGAAGGATTTGATCAGATATAAGTCCAGGTTTCTTTGAATTCGACACGACGCGATTAATTTATACGAATTAATATGAATTAAGCGAGTTTCAGTGAGACCTTAACGGATTCGGATGGTAAACAGATTGACCCATTTAGTACTTTTAATAAACAGATCGTGTTCAAGTGACTCCTGTCAACCTAATTATCACTCGTTTATCTATTTAAATAAAATTAATATAATAATAAATTATTAATTATTTTAAAAAATAAGGCAATTTTTTTTTAGTGAAAGCCACATAAAATATATATACTATTTTTAGTGATAGTCACAGATTTTTTTTTTTTAATTTAGGGACAGCCATAAAAATATAATAATAAACTAAAACTAAGCGAGTTAAACGAGTCGTGTCGTATTACCGTTTATTAAAGTTCATTTTCGTTTTTAGGTTTTTCACCCGTTTAGTAAACGAGTTGTGTATGAGTTTACATATTTTTTATCTGTCACCTGTTTAACTCAACACATAATCGTTTAATCCAACAAGTCTAACATCTCTAAATATAACCCTAGACCAAGTTAGAGTAGTACTGGTGCGGACCACAGCATTACCAGGCCCGTCATCAATCTGCCCAATTTATATTTCTTTATTATAAAATTATAAAATTAGAATTTAAAAATTAAAAGTTGCAGGCCTAAATATTTTCTTGTCTCAGCTAAATCAGTAAGGTCGATCCTGCCCATGAGCCGTCAAAGGCCTACAGGACTACAAATAAAAAAATTATTTATTTTTTGAATTTTTGAATTGTTTATGAAAATACCACTCAAAAATGTTAGAAATATCTTAAATCTTTCATTTTTATTCTATAAAAAGCTTTCTCTCTCTGTCCCAAATCTTTGTTTCAATCAATAAAATGTTGTTTATTATTTAAGTTTTAAAAAATTAACTTCAAAACTTGATTTAATGAATCACAATTATTGAATAAGTAGAGAATTTCAATAAATACTGGAACTTGCAGTTAAATCAATGATAAATATAATAACTACATCATCAAGTTAAATTTTAAATTTGTTTAGCATTGTTTTTTCTTGCAACATGATTCAAGAATTGTCAATTAATACGAGTGTCATGGCCCGTGCCTAGCCTGTACTATGTGCAATGGTGTGGGTCATAGGTCGGGTCGCATTACCTATAACTTTGCGTGGCCCGAAAATTGTAACTAGCCCTTTCTTCATTCTTACATGTGTGATTTGTCCATCCATTATTTACTAACGTTGGAACTATTTTTCATTTCAACCAGCAACGACCTTTGTTGTTCTCACTACATTGTGGAAATATAGGAATATATCAAAAACTCAACATATCATACATTGAATTAAAATCTCCATTTTCATAGAAATAAAGCCACAACATTGAAAAAAATGTGGGCTTAATTGATTACAATGACCAAAAATTGAAAGAAGAAAGGTCTTACAAAAAAACCATTCTATTTTTTATGCAACAATGACAGTCGAACGATGGAGCTAATTATATTTTTTTTACTAGAGCTGAACTAGACCTCGAATATCGACCGGATAAGTGTCGAACGGATTCTGAGAAGTGTATGCTCTCCCTCCCATGATCACATTAGCAGCCTCAGTAGGATGGAATGCATCAAAGAAGACATACTCATTCCTATTAGGACATGGATCTTGTTGTGAAAGACACTGCCCTTCACCAATGCCTGTTGATACTGTACAGCATGGAGCGTTTGAAAACCTAAAACCTAAAATAAATTAGTGAAATTAGTAACATAAATACTCCATTATATTTCCTCTCCGTTGAGATGGCCGAAACACGAGAAAGATGATGATGATGATGATGATGATGCTCATGAAGACAATGAGACGTAAACCAACTTGTTAGTTTGTTAAAAATAATTTAACGGATGGATGCACGCAATTATCTAGATTTAACAGATGCACTCGGTTAGAAATGATTGCGTGCGTATTAAGTTTTACAGCCATTTAAAGGCTCATTACCAAAAACCAAAAAATGGATAATAACATTTTGTCGCCTCAAAGATATAACGATATTTATTTTATCCATTAAAAGGTCAAAAATCTCTTGTTACACCCTGAATTTCTCAAAATAGGAGCAATGTGCCCACTTAGTAAACTATGTCAAAATTTTCATCACTCTACATACGACCTGAAAACAATTAGTTTTTATATGACAGTGAAAATCCAAATTTCTCTTAGGATGTCGGAGCATATTACTACCATTTTAAGAAGTTCAAGGTGCAATGGGGGACTTTAATCTTTAATAACCTGACGTGAACACTTTAAAATCATTGAGGGACAAAATATCATTTGCAAAAAAAAAAAAAAAAAGAAGCAGCTAAGAGGCACAGTTCTTTGAAGTTGAGGTAACCTACCAAAACCCATGGTAGTCGAAATTCCGGTAGTATTCACATAAATGAACTTTGCACCAGCAAGCTGTTGATTGAGGTTATCTACAAGAACCTTAAGCTTGTTATTAAAGAGGTTGACTGCTAGGTTGATGTGGGGCACACATGGTAGTCCAATGTTCCTCTTCAATTCATATGGAGCACAACCAATTAGACCAAGAGCAAACAACACGACCTTCCTTGCTCCATAGTTGTACAAAGCCTAGAATAATATAAATAAAATGATATAATTATTCATACCAATTCGATTCGAGTGCTTGGAATTAGAATAAGTTCGCAAAATCCAATAGGGCTAGCCATTGAAGGCTCGTTAAGGTTGGTTCAATGGAAAGGCCTTGGGCCATGGTCCATCCTAAAAGGTTGACTTGCAGGTTGAGTAGGCCTGGCCAGTTGGCGGGCCCCTAAACTATATAACCATTTTTTTAAAAAAATAAACATTAAAAAATGGTAAAATGTAAAAAAAAAAGAAAGAGTAAATAAATAATTACTAATTACCCTTAAACGCAGGGAATATTGTTGAATTAGTAGTGATGCATATTGATTTGGGTTGTGTTGGCGACTTGTGTTGTAGTGCTCGGGCATAAAGTAGTTGTTGATGTAGTCATTGCTTCCCATTCCAACTGAATATAAGCACTTATTCAGGTGCTCTATAGCTGACTGATTGTTGCCCAAAATTGTGCTGATTTTTGATATTGTAGTTTGATGATTTTCTAACTGTCCACCCAAGCTGATCCGAGCACCCTGCAAGGTAGATCTAAATT